CACTTACAGGACCAGTAAACTCGTCCGAGCTGAGCCATTTTTCGATGCGATAGTCTTGTATACCATGTTGCTCTCTCCCAGACCTCCCCTCCCAGGTGGCAGCTTGGTCGAGGAGCCTGGTCCAAGAAATGGGCGGAATCCACGCAGCGAAATAGGCGTTTAGGGTCATTGTCTCAATTTTCTCCCAAACTTGAGCCACAGGAACTATGCTTATGTGAAATTCCGACCACGCCTTCTCGCCTTCCGAGGTTAGAGGTCCGTCCTTCCTTACTGCAAGTGGAAGTAGCAATACATCCACAGTTTTAGATACATTGAGCCCCATAAACTAGTCCTGACGTGCGTTTGGTTCTATGGGATCGTTTGGGTCACGAGATCGTACAATTCACTATTCATATCCGTACCTGCATGTGCATGAGGCGTAGTCGTTCAGCTTCGGCAACAAAGGGCGACTTCTCCTCTTCAGTGAGCTGTCTCCAACGAGAGCCGAGCTGCAAAATTTGGTGATTAACTGGATTTTTCGATAACGGCAGCATTAAAGAGCCTTCTGCGCATGTTCAATTGGTAGAAAGGAAGGTGTTTTAGTTGACAGATGTCCTCGAACATCTGAATAGAAGCTTCATGGATTGTAAATGTGACCGAGAAAAAGCGACAAAGCGACATTTTCCACCGGAAAATTTCTTGCTACGCAATCATGCAGCATGAGATATATTGTATACGTTACGAACGTTGAGAGAATGATCTGTCGTCGAAAGTGTTACTGTCTTTTTTTAACCAGCTTAGGGAAATTTGATACTTATCGAAAATACTATTACGCCTACGGGAGCGGTTTCTGAAGTGAGGGCAATCGATATGCCCTATGGTTGGAAAGCTGCAGCTCACTGATAATTAATGAAAGTTGGATTATCTCATTGAGGGGCCATGGTTTGGGGGGCAGGCATTCAACAAAGCCAAAAATTGGTTGGTTGACACTGGTAATAAGCCATGAAAAGGGAGAAACGCTAGGGGAGAAGAAGAATTGCCGGATCCTCCTCTCAACGGTCCCTGTCCCTCCCCAAAGTTTAGTCGCAGATACTCTAGGTGGCTAACTCACTTGAATGTCCCTTTCCCTAACCATATGAGCGCCCTTCAGCACCAACAGAGCCAAACCCGATATTGGCCAATTTTAGACAACCGATCATCTCTTCCTGTTCCCACACTACGGGGCAGCCTCTAGCATGTGGTTGAAGTCTCGGATTTGTGATAGCGGGATATTGGTACAAGCAAAACATTCTGAGTTCCAATACTTTCTCCCATTCAAAAGTGGCCCATGAAGGCAAGTGTTGAAACGGTGAATTGCCTGAGTTTCTAGCATTTTCTGTGGTTCCCGAAAAAACTTCCAGCTTTTCAGAGGAATTTCTCGGGTACCCGACAGGAGGCCCGTCGCGCGGCAAGAAGGCAGAGTCAGCGGACGAGTTGCAGCGCGTGGTGTGCGATGTAGGACGTACAGTGGTCATTCTATTTAACTTGACGCGAAATCACCACAGTACGCGCTGCGACTCGTCCGCTGACTCTGCCTTCTTGCCGCGCGACGGGCCTCCTGTCGGGTACCCGAGTTTCTCTCACACTTCCTAAAAATAGGGCCAATATTGCGAAGCATAACTACTCTCATCGAAATCAGAAAATGAAGCCACCTTTCCCTAAGTCATCCAGACAGAGGCTTGACCTGCCTGAAGTAGTAAACCCAGTAAAGGATACAAGAACTGGTGCATGTCTCATTTCTGAACGATGGCCCGGTAGGGCTATTTTACACATCAACATGAAGAATTGAGAAGCTTATTATAAAATACTTCATTCTCACTAGATCGGGTGGCCACAGTAGAATAAATCCCATTTAACCACACACTTCTCGTCCTCGTTTTCTCCCTTCCTCCACACCACTACTTCTGTCTCTTCAAAATTCTTTGGCTGCTCTAGGGAACCTTTCCCTCTCCTCCTCCCCGAAGTGGCCCCGAAGTGGGCCTTAACAAGCACTCTATCACATTTCCTTTCACTGTGAGATTACAGCGGTAAATATCTTGAAAACGGCTGAACTCCCGCTCCTATCTTGTGTTATATCCTTATTTGTTCAACCTATTTGGGAGAGGACCAATGAATTCTTCTGGGACTATCAGTGCATCTCAAGCAAGTGATCGTTCGGATAGGGACTTTTTGAAAATTCATATTGCCCTCTGTAAAGAATAACTGTGGCCATCTCCTCAGAGCTCCCCCTTCCCCCTCCATTGCTCCATTATGAGCCCAACTACTTAGTGAACAGTCGAGAGAAACAACTGAGTATAACGCAAGTGAAATAGGAGAAATGCATGGCGCATCCTACAGTAACCTCATTGAGGCTTGTTAATTTTCCTGAAACATGTCCAAAATGATTCCACAACTAGCATTTTCCTGACTTTAGTCACTTACCTGCTTACTAATCTCTGCGTTATGCATGTCTGGTTGATGCTCGCAGATCTTCCGTCGTTCCAATTGCGACCATACCATGAACGCATTCATCGGTCGTTTGATGTGATTACTTGATTTTTTACAATTTGTCGCATCGGTATATGGTGTGGCGCTTTGCTTCGACACCTGGTACTAAAATACCATTAGTGATTTCTGGGTACATCTGTGTGTTTATCACGTAGCAAAAGGCAAATGAAAGGAAGCATTGCAACAAAAAGCTAACAATAAGAGGCTCTCAATTTGTTACGGCCTCTAGGCGCCTTGGAAACATCACAGATCTGCCCCTAGCTCAGCTGAGCAACTCTCTGAACGGAGTCATGTTGGGTTTTTTTTTCGCTGGTTCCTTGTTCATGTGATGGCACGGCGGTGTGAAAGACTTCGGCTAGAGTTGGCAATGCTGTTGAAGCATCGAGCCGGAAAACGGGGTCGTGGGATCGATTCTCAGCTGGTTAAATTTTGCTCTCACAGAACTGCATACTTTCAGACCGGAATTAATCACATTCTCGCTTTTTCCACAATCTGCCTACTTTCAACCGGAATATTCCATTAAGTTATAAGACCACAACTCAAGAACCAATGCAGACATTATCTTAGCATTAAACCTTAACAGGCTCATTTTTGGACAACAGGCTGTAGGGGTTCAAATTTGAAATTATTATTGTGGTACGCAAGAAATGATGAAGCAAAATGAACCAACACCAAAACTGTGACCCTATTGTAACAGTTGATGTGGACAATATGCGAGCTTGAGTTGAAGAAAATGTGAGAGATCCATGAGATTTTAGCGACGAGGGGGAAGACAGCATGGAGGTAAAAGAGCCGCAGACACGAAGGTGACAACATCCCATAAGGTGTGCTGCGCATGGAGCGGGGATTGCCAGCGGTGTAATCCTCGAAGCGCATCATCATATATACCCCCCATGGTGCCTTAAAGGCACGAGTCGGATCGAATTGATGCGTTATTTTGTTCGAAATTAGGCAAGGGGCAATGAGGAACATTAGTGAGGAGAAAAAGCAAAAAGCACCATAGAAAACACTAAATTTCCCTTGTGAGGCCGGCCGTGGTATGACGGAGACACAGCGCTGCGAGGAGAGGGAAAACGCGAGAGAGCACGAGAGGCTGCAAACTCATGTATGCTGAGATTTTTAGAGTGGTAGCGCCGGCAGCGTACAAGGCAGGGCTTCAGCGCCCTTGACGTGCACCTGAGTCAGCGTCGCCGCTCCTGAGCTCGAGTACTCCTTTCATCCACTCTAAGGTGGACTACGTCTCAGCACCTATTCCCGACCCTAAGCTGTGAAATAGAATTCTGCTGCAGAGTTCGGCAGCACTTAAAGACACAAGCGATTAGCAGCGCGTCCAGTATCCAGAAGTCGAAAATTCAAAAAGGCGGAAACGGAAATCGGAATAGCCGCGACCATAAAAAATCATGGAAGCAAGCATGAACGCAACTTTCTTCTCATATTAAATTTATCTAGTGCAATAATTATTAATCTGCGAGTAGGAATGACATTACGAGAAGGGCGCTCGAAATATGAGGTCAGAAATGCTCCAACTAAAGATTTAGTTCTCTCGAATATTTCCTTCAATTGACGAGGAGTATCTTCGACGGCGGTATAAAATCATTTTGTGGAGATCAGTTCGGAAGTTCATTAGCTGGCCCATAAAACTACCTTCATAGATCCGAAGGGCAGATTATCCCAGCTCATTGTTTGTTGCATGTTCGGCTGGCAATGCATGATCTGT